GGGGGAGAGGGGGGAAGAGTTAGGGGCACCAGCAGAACCGGGGTAGGGAGGAGTGAGGGGCACCAGCAGGGCCAGGAGGCTGTGGAGGGCCTTTCATTTTAATCACAGATTTTGGTGTTATCAGAGAATTTGTGATTTTTTATTAGGGAAAGCCAGATCCCTGATCATGATAACCCCAGCAGTGTAAATCATTGCGAGAGCTGTCAGATTTTCTTAGCTGTGAAGAAGCTCTGGGCTGGTGTGGTTGCAGAAGCTGGGGTGCAGAAAGGGAAGCATTACTGCCAGAGCCTGCCAGGGTAGATTATAACAGAAGCAGGATTCAGATACCACAAATGGTACCACAGCCAAACCAGCACTAATCTATGCTAGGGTTTCTGCCAGCATGAACGGGCCTCAGAATCAGGAAGCTGCAGTCACTCCGCTGCAGCTCTCTTCAGATAAAATGAATGAATAATAGCAACAGTTTCACCATAGGGTGTGACCGTCACAGTGAACGTGGCTGGTATGCACAAGCACAATGGGGAGGACACGTAACATGCCTCTCTATTCTGAAAATGTTTCCCTACTTTAGCATTTAAATACTTTTATTATGGTCTGTGGTACTTGAGTTTCAGTGAGCATGAAGTGAAGGAAGATTTGACACAATCTAGCATAATATAACATTATACTTTATGAGACAGATTGCAAAAATTTTGCTTCTCTAAAGTCCAAATGTCAATCAATTTATAAGCTTTGGCAGATATGAAGTTACTTATTTAGGTTCATAAGACTTGCAGCTGAATTCCAGCTAAATCTGACAGGATTCTAAAATATCAGGAAAAGCAACTGGAAAAAATCCATGTTGAATGCATCTGCTTAAACTTTGTTTACTTGTGGTAACAGCATACACATGTCTAAAGTTACTGATAAACCACAGAAAGCTTATGTAATACTGTTGCTATCCAAAAGTAAAAACAATATTCATCTTCAACTAATAATCAAAGAGCTTCACAATCCATTTGCATAGAGAATACAGTAATAGTCTAATTTATCTGTTAAAAAAGGGTGGAGACTGTCACAAAATTAAGAGAAACTAGAAAAACAGACTCTGCATCTCAGGTTTTGGTAGAGAACACTATTTAAATGATGTAAAATCAAATTAAGTTTTTTTTACACTCTCTTCTTCATTTTATATCATTTATTTTACCTTACTCTTCCCCTCTCCCCCACAACTTGAATAGAAAAGAGAAAAATTTTCACATGTAAAAATCTATTTAGGAACATGAGAAATACCATTCAAATTAGCACAGCAATCCCTTTAATTCAGTTTTCTCTCTCAGACAAGTCAGTACCAGATGTTTTAGGGGAAGGTGCTAGAATCTCCAGAGCAGACATGGAAAGTTTTTTTCCTAAATTTCTTCAGGTATGAATATATATAAGCTATGCAGGAGTGGATCAAGGAGTGGTCCAGTCTCATCCCCCACTTCTGTCATTGCTGCCTCGGACCCCATCTGGCCCAAATGCACAAACCCCTCCTGCCCCACTCTAGTCACAGATTGCAGGGAACAGCTGCATGGAGTGCCAGGTTCTGCTCGGGACAGCAGCAGCAATAGACTGGTTTCCTCCTCTTGCACCCACCACTCCCTACTGCTCTTCTGCCATCATTCCCACTGACTGGAAGCAGGCACTGGAAGAAGTAACCCACCTCCCCTGCCATTGTCCCTGGCTGAGGCAGGCACAGGGGAAACCCAAGCTCTCCCCTCCCCCTAGAAAATCCTAGCTCCACCCATGATGCTATGCCCTAAGAACATAACTTCTATGTTCATCAGCATGTCTAATACTTTTTGGATTCAGAGTCAGCTGTTGGGTTAATGCCATTTTGTGGCAAAGTAGTCTACATACCTCTTTTTCCAGAATACGAGAGATCTCTCCCAAAGTCCTGTCTAGAGCAGAAACCTTGTTGTTTGCCAATGAGCTGCTATCTTGTACTTGAAGCTGCTTTAGAAGATCTTTTGATAATCGCTGCAGCCTTCAATATTAAATAAAAAACAATAAAATGAGTCACAACAGAAAAAGGTACTTGCACACTGAATTTTACTTGTGTAAAGACTTTTTTAACCTCAGTTCGATTAAAGCAGGGTTGTCAAACATACCCTATGGACTGCTGTCATGTGGCTCTCAGGGCTACTACAGGGACTGGGAATTCAGAGGCGAGGCAAGCAAGGGTGAAGCCCATCACTGAACTCTGAGGCAGGGAGACTCATTGGCAATGCATGTCATTGGAGGAGGGCAAGTAATGGTTGCATCAACCCTGCCACCTGTCCTACCACTGCTTGTTCTGCAATTTGGATCTAGACTGGGAGGTGGGAGAGTTTGACATCCCTGGATTAAAGTAATGGCATGTCCACACCTTGAATATTGTTCCCAGTTCTAGTCCCCATCTCTAAAGGATATACAAGAACTACAGAGGGTATAAAGAAGGGCAACAAGGATGATTAATGGTGTGGAAGGACTTGAATATGAGGAGAGACTAAAGAGACCAGGTCTATTCAGTTTAGAAAAAAGACACTTGAGGGGGACACGTTAAGGGTTTACAAAATACCAAATGGTGAAGAGAAAGTAAATAGGGATTATTTACTCTCTCTCAATATAAGAAAGAGGGGTCAAAAATGAAACTAGTAGGTAATAAGTTTGCAACTAACAGAAGGAAGTTTTTTTTCATACAGTGTATAATCAAAGTGTGAAAACTCATTGCCACAAGATGTTGTGGAAGCGAATGGTTTAGCCAGATTCAAAAGGGGACTGGAAAAATTTCTTGGAGAAAAGGGGCATCAGTAGCTATTGGGCATGGGAGTCAGGGTACAGCCTTTGAATCATAACTTCCTATATCTTAAATGCTGGAGGCTGCAAGTGAGAAAGGAACAGTGGAAAACCCCCATGATCATACTCAGTTAACTCTCCATTTCAGCATCCACTCTGTTGCTATATGACACAGGATACTGGGAAAGATGGACCTATGGTATGACCCAGTACATGGCAATTCTTATGTTCTTACAATCTTTTTACAGGTAATAATTATAATAGATATATTACAGTAGCATCCAAAATGTGAAACAAAGAAGATACAGACCCAGTGCAGAGAGCATACAATTAACACCCCCCCAAAAACAAACACAAAAAAAACCAGCTGAAAAAAAGAGGCAGGAGAGGCACTGTGATTGTAAACCTGAAACATATTAGCTACGTATTTGTCTACTGCTGCTGTACTTTTTTCAGTTCAGCACAACTAATTTGCCCCATCTACCTCCACAATTCAGCCCACCTGCCCTTGTCAATATCAGTTCTGGTAGCTTTTTGTCTCCTTCCTACTGCAACATTCAATCATTTCCTTCCATACAGAGCAGCATTTTACTCCTGAGAAGAGTAAAGGAAACAGGACAGCAGATGATGTAGCTCAGGGGTCAGCAACATCTTCCAGCAGGGGAACCAGACGACCCAGCTTGAATCACAGGTAGGCAGGCACTAAGACCCAGCCACCTCTTCTCTCAGGTTTCAGCTGTGGTGAAAGTTCCTCTTCCCTGGAACCTGTGCACATCATGGGCAGAAATCCCCCTCTGCTGGAGCTCCAGGTGATAGACAAAGAGGTAGTGCAGGGAGAGCCCCGCACTGCTGAATGCCACTGAAATCAGGGCCAGATCCAAAGGCTCTGAGGGCCGCATCCAACCTGCAGTACACAGGTCGCCAACCCTGAGTTAGCTGGTTTCCTACAGGTATCATAGGAGAATAGGGCCTTTAGGGTTGATTTAAATAAGAAAGGATTGTGGCTCTACTGGCCACTGTGCATTCCATTTGTCAGAGCAGCACAGAAGAAAGTGCAGAAATAATTGCAAGGGAACTGGGATACTGGGAATGTAGATACTGGGAATGAGTTGGTAGAGCTGTCAGGGAGGCTGATGTGATAGGGCACAAGTATAAATATGGAAGGAATAAGTTATTTAAGACCTTGAATATGATCACAAGAAATCTGAATGTCATACGCAGGGAAGTAAGAGCCAGGAAGCATTCACAGTGGAGACAATATCATTAGACAGACAGGATAAGGAAGATAACCTTGGCGGAAAGGGAAACAGAATGTAGACTTCAAAATATTCTCAACAAATTCATAGATTCATAAATGCTAGGGTCAGAGGGGACCTCAACAGATCACTGAGTCCGACCCCCTGTGTAGGCAGGAAAGAGT